ACAACAACGACGACAACAACGTCGACAACGACGCCAACAACAACAGCAACAACAGCAGCAACAACAACAACAGCAACAACAACAACAACAACAACAACAACAACAACAACAACAACAACAACCACAACCACAACGATGACGACAACGACAACGACAACGACCACGGCAACAGCAAAGGCCGCAGCCGCCGCAGCAGCGGCAGCAATAGCAGCAGCAGAAACAGCAACTGCAATACCCGCAACACCAGCACCAGCAACAGCCGCAGAAGCACCAGCAACGGCCAAAACAACAGCAACGAACATAACAGCAACGATAACAATAACAGCGATTCACAACATGGCTGTCCGTTCTGCAATCTGACAAGGCAGATGATCAAGCCCCTGCGTCAGCTCGGTCTTGGGCTCTTGGATCTAGGACAGGATTCTTAGGCACCCTACAACATACAGAAAGCTCAGTGTTCACATGGGGTCCACATGCGCGACGGGAAGAACGCGGCTCCATCCCAAACAAGGGATATCTGAATCCTACCACCAAACGATAGCTGATTACAACCCAGGGCCAGGAGACGGCAGGGCACACCAGCGAGACTTTTTGAGTCACGTATTCGTACTCGTCAAACCATGCACAAAACTCAAACTTGACTAAGCATCCTCCATCGTAAGCCCGCGTCGAAATACCGAAGCCCAATCCCTGCAAATCCCAACTCTATCCTATAGTCTCCATTGTAGTTCCTTTTTGGGGTTGCCTTTTAGGATCCTTAATATTAAAATTGGTTAAACCAAAAAAAGGAACTACAATGGAGACTATAGGTCCTATGTCCCAAGCCCATGTCACTCCAAAACACTATGCTGTCAGCGGATGTGCTCATTTCAACATGGCCGTGGTGGCTCAGAAGTTTCTCAAACGCTCAAACCCCAAGGCAGATGTACACGTGTGTTGATGTGCCTGTATACAGCGTGTATACCTGTGTATACACATATTGTATGTCCATACAGTGAGGATGACGGCCACGAAGCATCTGAGAATCTGTACAAGCTTGCTTTTTGCCACCGGGGTTCAGGGTCTAGACATATAAAGGCCGGTTCTCAAACCCTGCGCGCAGTGCAGTTATCAAAATCCCCGAAGGGAAACGACTCACTTCTCCATCAGCGGTGTTGAACCGAAGGACAGCCTCTCACTTCTTCTTCACCTAAGCTCGAGCAGGCGTAGAGGATGGGGAGATTAGGTATAGATGTACCTCAATCTCAACTAGGGCTAAGATCCGAAACCCCTGTGCCTCCAAAAACCCGATGCCTTCAAGGGACCCTGAAACGTAAAAGGAGTGCAAGGGCCTCGAAAGATTGAAATCTCCAAGGTTGCAGCACGACTGGCTGCAAGGCTGTGTAGTATCCCACAGTAACCCGAGAGGGGTTTCTGGCATCTTAAAAATACAACCATGTGAATGTTTTGGAGGGTTTACACTCTCACAACTCGGACAAGCCAGGCGAGGGTTCATAGGTGCAGAGGTCGGCGTGACACAATGAGTTGCGGATGCCTGTTACTATCCAAAGCAACGACGAGGATAGACAACATATTAAGGTCACCATGCATCCAGTTCTCACCCAGAAAGCCGAGTTGAAAGGTGTCTACTTCCGGTTGGTGTGCTCAGAGAAGTCTTTATGTACCAGGTATACTAGATGGTATGCAAGATCAGTTCAGGGCACGGAGTGGTTCCCACGTTGCTTTGATGGAGATCTGTTTCGAGTCTGGTAGATAGTCTCATGTACTCGAGGATAGACCTCCAACATAGTAAAAACCACAACTCAGAGTTCGGATCAGTTCGACCATCTCGCTCCAAAAAATCCCCAGAGGGTCCGAGTACCCAAATAGTAAGGTTTTAGATCCCAAAATCCATGCTCTGAATGGTTTTTGGACCTTGAAACCCTAGTATTTGCGTATTTGGACCCTTAGGGATCATGCGAATGGTTAACGTTCGAAACCCATCTGCAAATCCATTCGCTTCATGGCTCCATCCTCGGCTTCGTCTGTGCCAGAACGAACGCATGTTCACGGATTCCATAAAACCGGCTTTGCATCGGGCTTTCAACTACCACACCCTAAACCACCCTAGATACTAAACTCTTAAAAATACGAATAATAATATAATATCAAGAATAACAATAGTAGTAATAATAATAATAATAATCGAATACCTGCGTCGGGGAACAGGCTTCAACACCTTGAAGCTGCACATCAGCGTCTCATCGATGGACATCATGGCACCGGCATTGTCGAACTCCCCACCTGTGGCCCGTGAGCTCCGGAACCGACTTCATACATGCTTTGGGCGCTAGGGGGTTCTCTAGGGGTACATGGGAGAAGTGTAGGAGTTTTGGTAATTTTGACTGGAGTCATACAAGGTTTTTATGGGATACCTTAGAGAGCTCAGTCTACGTCGTAAATAAGGGACGTAAGACGACACATCCGTTGCTTCGTGTGGCTTCAGGTATCCTGCTTGGCTCTCATCTGTATTGGCTACTTAAGACTTTCGGTTTAAACGTTGAAGGTTGGTCCATGGGCAACATCCTGAAGGTCACACCAGGTGCAGGGCACTACCAGCACACGGCCCCTCCCGAAAACCCATCACCCCATGGAGTTGAAGTCATGGCACAGTAGTTGGGCGCACTGAATAGCGTGATGAGCTGGCGCTTTGCGAAGAACTCATAACCTGGGATCTCGTGTGCGTTTGTGGTTGAGGTTTAAGGTTTAGGGTTAGGGTCGGGGCAAAGCAAGGCTGAAAAGCCTGCAGGTCGTTGTAAAGCGGCTGCCCTTGGTCGCCGACAGGCTCACGTCGGGCTTTGGGCATAAAACACCAGTCGTGTCACCTCCTCAAAACATCGCTTATTAGCCCCTCCATCTGCATGTGGGAGCTTCCGATAATAAGGGGTACTTTGTTTTGGGGTCCTTTTAATAAGGATCCTACTATTTGGGGGACTATATTAGGGTCCCCTATTTTCGGAAACCCCCATGTAAACCTCTCAGGTTATAGCAATCAGAAAACCCACCCCTAGCGTAGCTAAACTCAAAATTGGTTTAGGGTTTAGGGTTTAGGGACTCTAAATATCTTCCAAGCTTCCATCTTCAACGACCTGGTGGGCCCGGCACACCAGGTCCATGTCCTGAGCCCGAAACCCTGAGTCGGAGCTAGGATTAGGGGGACCCTTGGGGACATAGACCCTCTCAATAAGGTCCCTAAACCCTAAACCCTGAAGGGGTACCCTTTAAGGGGTACCCCTAATAATGCTACCTACTGAGGACGCTTAGGGCCTAGGCTTTGGGCCTTAGTTTTGTGCAGGGCATGGCGGCTTCGCTGTGCCTCTGCACGCAGCAGCCGCCAGTAGTTCTCGTAAAAATGAAAGTAATATAAGTAATCACAATACAAACAATCTAACAATGATAGTAACAACGTGTTAGAAACAACAATGGTAATAACACGTAGTGACAAAAACCGCAATAATTAACAGGAGTTGCTTTGACCGGTAAAGAATAATAACCTCTACTGTTGTATATGTAGATAAGGAAGCACACCGATCAGACGGTCTATACCACTCTAAGAGTCAAGTTATGGTAGTTTTGCTTCGGCGGTCGTGGTGGTGCTTGTTCCGCTGCTGTTGGCTTTGGCAATAATTGCTGTTGCTGTTGCTATTCTGTTGCTAGTGCCAACAGCTGCTGCTGTGGCTGTTGCTGTGGCTCTGGGCTGTTGCTGTTGTTGCTGCTGCTTGTTGCTGCTGCTAGCGATGCCGTTGTTGTTGGTGCTGTTGCTGTTGTTGCTTGTTGTTGAGTTTGTTGTTTGTTGTCAGTGGGTGGCCATCTGTTGTCTTCTCTGATGCTGCTTGCTGTGGTCGTGGTCGTGGTCGTGGTCGGGGTTGTGGTCGTTGTTGTTGTTGTTGTTGTTGCTGTCGCTGCTGTTGTTGTTGTTGCTGCTGTTGCTGGTTGATTGGTCTTGCCGCATGTTGCGTCATCTTTGTTGTTGCCTAAGTATTTCAACTATGTTGTTTTGCTTTGGATGTGCTTGTTGTTGGTTGGTTGTGATGGTGGTGGTGTATGTGTTTGTGGTTGTTACGGTTATGGTTGTGGCTGTTGTTGTGGTAGCTGTAGTTGTGGTTGTTGGCAACGGTGGTTGACGTTGATGGTGGCACGGGTGGTGACGATTCGTGGTGGTTGGTGGGGTTGTTGTTGCTGTTGATGGCATGGCCGAATTCCTGTTGCAGCCCAGGCACGTGTTTCTGAAGGAAGCTTGTGACAACATCCGGGCCGAAAATGAAAGAGACGCCACGATCGTTCTCAGCCCATCCGGCAATGTCCTGAAGATGGCAAGAACATGAACATTCGACTGCAATGCTGCAGCGCCCTTCACAAAGATCTTGCAACATCGTCAGTCTACTGCATAGACCCGTGGAGGCCCGAGCCCAGCCAATGCAATTAGACCTTTATGCCTCAGCAACAGAAGCATTCCTTGGCCAATTGCTTTTTTCAGCCATACTCCAATCTAGCGTTGCAGTGCACGGGTCCTTGTCAGGGTCTGCCCACAACAGGTCGCAGATCAAACCGGTGTCCGGGACGTCAGTGGGGCGTACAATCCGTTTGACCTCTCAAGATTGAGGGAAGAAAGGAGACTGAAAACGGGGGAAGGAGCAAGTTGCGAAAAGATCGGCTATGTCTCCTCTAAAGTAAGTCTGTGCGTGTATATGTGTGCCTGCCTCAAGCTCTTCCCTGTACAAACAGTCTTGCACCTATGTCAGTCCGAAACTCTCAGATTTTGCAGATACAAGCCCGGTACAAGTGTCTTTGCCACTTGGAGCCCTTCTCTTTCCCAGCAATTGTGACCACCACTTACACCCAGCGCTGACACCAGGCTTACTGCCACTCTAGTAGTTGCTGCCGCTAGCATTTTCACTGCTGATGTTGTCATCACTGAAGATCACATTTTGTGACAGTTTCGCGAATACCTGTTCCGACCAAGTTTGTTCGTGTTCAAGCGTGCTCAATCAGAAACTTCTGCTAAAGCTACTAGTAGCACGTAGTCCGTGCGGAAAAGCTAACTTTGACCGATCTCGACACCTTCCAGGAGGACCTCAACATACAACAAAAATCATCGCAGGTACAATCACGGACGTACCTGTCGTCTCCATACTGTCTCCATTGTAGTTCCTTTTTTGGTTTAACCAAGAATATACCGAGGAGTTTATAAGGCATCCCCAAAAAGGAACTACAATGGAGACTGTAGGTACAGTGTCCATGGCAATCAGAAAGCTGACAGAAACATCCTAGCAATGCGATTACGAAGTGCAGCAGACTCCCGGAAACGACCCTGCTCTGCGGGTACTGCATGGTAGTTATAGTACTCATTGTGTAGCCCCGGAACCGAAACCCTAAACTCTAAACCCCAAACCCTAAACCCTAAAACCCGAAATCTCCGCACCGAAGCTGGCCTGGTCGAAGCTGGTGATCTCAGGGCTGAGGCCGCCTCAGAATCGGTTCAGCATGTCATCTTACATGATGCCACGCCATATGAGTTATAAAAGTTAAGGAAATATTATGTTATAGTTTATTAAAACATACACATGAATCAACGCTACTTGATGTACTAGCGTGAGAAGAAGCGTGGCTCGTGACAGCTCCCTCTAAAAACCTCTAATCCTGGCAACCCCAGACCCAAAAGCCCCAGACCCCAAAACCCTAGCGGCCCTAGCAAACCCAGACGGACATTCCTAACCCAAAATAGGGTTTAGGGTTTAGGGTTAAACCCTACACCCCAAACACAAACTACGAAGCTCATGCATCCCTTCGCTCGAGCCTTGCTGGGGCGACACCACTCGCATAGACTTTAATCAAGTTCGGTATCTTGCTTATGTCGCCAAAAAACCAAGGAGTTGATGACAATGAGGATTTTGAATCATACTGAAAGTGTTTTTGGTTTCACAAGGCTCCAAACAGCCTCTATCTGGACCAAAGACAAGGAATGTTCAGGATGTACAGCGGATGAAATCTAACATATGAAGTGAATATATTGTGTGTGTGATTCATGTTCCCAAAGCTGTAAATGCAAGCATGACCAAACTTGAATATTATGTTCTTGCGCCGCGCGCGAACTGATGAAAGAAAGAACACTCGCATAGTTTCCTTCATCATAACCTGACAGCGCACCTCATTTCGTTCGTTTCTTGTTGCCCTTTTCATGTTTACGCTCCTTTCTGGCACTTCATTATGAAAGGGCAACACTCCTCATGTTCGATCACTGGAGGGTCTAGCCAACAATGCAAATGTGCGCATCCCCGTAGTTGTCCACTTTCAGGGGAGGTTGGAGTCCCGAACACTGATCACGGGCTTTCTACCCTGTTTGCTGCACGTTGGCATTGAGTCTCTGCAGTCGTGCCCCAGCTCTGCAATTGCTAACCCACTCTTATGATACCTTGCTCGCCTCTTGGTTTTTTCTTCCTTTCTTGGCGCGTCCTTTGCGTGAACACGGCTGCTGCTCTCCCTCTTCTTCTCTGCGGCAGGAAAAGATTGCACTAGCGGCCGGGTCGGCTGCAATGACTGCGGAAGTCAAGCCAAAAGCCTAGTTCAAACTGCGTGGCAAACAACACCAAAGCCGACCAAACCAGGCAATGCTTGCTGCTAAGTCAAGTCGCCGTGCATGCAGATGATCTTCTCGTCAATGATAGCCTCAGGAATATCTCTAATCCACAACGCCCACCTTCATCATCAACATGATCTTGCTCATCGTCGGCTTGGTGACATGGAGGCATGAGGAAAGCAACCCAAGCAATCTCAGCACTCGCATCAACAGAAGTAGTGGCGGCTGTTAGGGGAGTAGGAGTAGGAACCGGAGTACCACAGGTGGTGGCAGTAGTACTGGTCATAGTAGACTTGTTGTAGCAGGAGCAGCAGCACCACGAGTAGTAGTAGTAGTAGTAGTAGTAGTAGTAGTAGGAGGAGTAGGAGTAGGAAGCGCCATGAGTGGTTCAAATCTGAAAGTCGTCTTTTGAACGGTGGGGCCTGTTAGGAACGTAAGCTCTCTAGAAGGC